TGCATCTTTCAGGTCTTTGATGGTGGCACTAATTTCTGCAGTTCTTCCAGGGATGTGATATTGCTTTTGATTCACTATTTTCCTTGGCAGGGACAACTCTAAAGGCTTCCATTTAGACTTTCCAACCATAATATCCCCAACTCAGGGAATCAGTGTGAGAATTCGGCCAACTTCTAAGCATATATATCTCAAATATACATCCTCAGGCGGGGGAAAATACCACAGGATGATTTTGGGGACCCATTGGACCTACTATGAATCAGACTTTAGCCAAAAACTCAATTAATCACTTGACCTTCATACGCCTCTACTTTAACAGGAAGGCCACGATGTTTATTGAGTTCTCCCAGAATCAGTATCAATTCAGAACCATGATCCAATAGACTCTGGAAAGTCTGATTATTTTACCAAGGGGAAACTAGACATTTCTTTACTCAAGGGATTCTGGGTCTGAAAATTGACTCAAGTCTGGAAGTTTCTTTATGGGCCAAGATTCTGTTTTGCCACAATTCAGTGTAGCCTTACATTTGAGAATTTTCCCACTTAATACAGACCAAACAAAAATCCACTAGGCTTCTCATCTATTCCATTCCTGGAAACACTATGATTGATTAGCTGGTACCAAAGGTCTTTATGAGTCACACACCATCAAATTCATTTGCCTGTGCTGGCTATTATGAGTTAGGCCATTATTGACATTGCTTTGCCTACACTACCCATTAGGATAACAACAATCACCTTGCCTTTGGAGACTCAATGCTACTATCTGCTACTTTGGGGTCCAACTAAGCTCATTGTATCTCATTCATCTGACTGAGAAGCGGTATCTCCAACCCTAAGGTACAGCACAAGGAAAAAGGCAACAATGAAGTTCTTCAAATGTGTTAGTGTTCCCTCACCATTTTATATCTTACAGGGTTAATGTAGGGCATGTTGCCTGGGCCTTCCCTTTGTGGAGGACTAGGTTTTACACAGCATACCCACTCTAGCATTGCAATTTCCCTGTGCCTTAAAATTCCTTCATCAATACTAAGCCAAGAGATATCAGACATCTCTAACCCCTTTTCAGTAGGCCATCTTTTGATGACTGCTTCAGCCAACCATTCAAACAAACCATTGACACCGTCTTTAACCCTGTGACTTCTTTTTATATTAAATATAATATATTAAATCTAGAATCTTCACTCAGTGAGCCTGTATCAATAAACTCAACCTGATCCAATTTTATGTTCCTTCCACATTATTTCATACTCTTAAAATCCATCCCCACACATATTCCACAGACTTCTACATGAATGAATTAGCAAACTCATTAAGTTCTTTAGTAGTCTAGCACAACTCCTCATGGACTATACTTTTAATCTCTCCTCTAGGAGCCTGCTTTGCCTTAAGCCTGGTTATATGTCTGGAGGCAACTATTGGTGGGCCTTGAGGGACATCAGTATTGTCTTGCCTAATCTCCTTCAGAGAAGGTCACTTATGGTAAGGATTAACTTCCTCAGTCAAAGGAGGGAGAGGAAATTGTCTTAATTAGAGTTACCATTGCTGTGATGAAACAACATGACCAAAAGCAAGTTTGGGAGGGAAGGGTTTATTTCACTCACAGTTCCATAGAACAGTGCATCACCAAAAGCAGTGAGGGCCAAAACCTGGAGCAGGAGCTGATGCAGAGGCCATGGAGGAATGCTGCTTACTGGCTTGCTCTCCATGGTTTATTCAGCCTGCTTTTTAATTGAACTCAGTACCACCAGGCCAGATGGCCCTATCTACAATGGGCTGGGCACTCCCCAATCAATCATAAATTAAGACTATGCCCTATAGGCTTGCCTATAGCCTGATCGTATGGAGCCATTTTTTAAATTTGAGGTTCCATCCTCTTAGATGATGTCTTAGTTAGGGTTTTACTGCTGTGAACAGACATCATGACCAAGGCAAGTCTTATAAAGGACGACATATATTTGGGGCTGGCTTACAGGTTCAGAGGTTCAGTCCATTATTATCAAGGTGGAAGCATGGGAGCATGTAGGCAGGTATGGTGCAGGCAGAGCTAAGAGTTCTACATCTTCATCTGAAGGCTGCTAGCAGAATACTGGTTTCCAGGCAGCTAGGATGAGGGTCTTAAGCCCACACCCACAGTGACACACCTACTCCAAAAAGGTCACACCTCCTAATAGTGCCACTCCTTGAGTCAAGCTTATACAAACTATCACAGATGACTTTAGCTTGTATCAAGTTGACATAAAACCAGCACAGCAGTATTTCAGAGGGTTGGGGTGTGAGTACATCCGTTGCTGGTGTGGACAGACTGCTTCCTCGGGAGAGAACTTGAGGGTTCCAAGTTTTCAGTGTCAATAGGGTCCTCCCACACATCTCCATTCCACGTTACAAATCCCATTCTTTACCAATGAATGCCCTTACTCTAATTGCTGACACCTTCTAAGGCTGGGACTTGAATTTTGGCTATAATTTATCCAATCTTATGATAGTGAGGGCTTTGTTTTGATTTTCCTTGAGCTCTGTGGCTTCTGGAGAAAAGATTCTCTTCCAGAGCACACTTTTAAAACTTTAGACTGTTGACTAGCATCTGGAACCGATCATTTCTCTCACTGAGGTCTTTATTACCCTCTATCATATTCTGAGATTCTACAGGTTGGTTAGTATTTAATCACAGGACACATTCTTTTTCTTGGTCATTTTTATCCACAGATGCTAGGAGCAAGCAACCAGTAGCACCATGTTCTTAAAAAAATTGTCATAAGTTTTATATACAGACTCACCAAATCCTTCGCTTCAGTATAATCAGATGCATTTATATCCTTAAGTTTGTAAGTTCATGAGCTTTTAATACTCTTTTAGACTTCTAGATGAGTCTTCGGCAACTCCAGAAACTAAAGAAATACACTTTAATAACTATAGACATTGGTAAATTGGAAAGCCTATTCCAAATACAAAACTCATTCTTGAACTTCTGTTGCTCTACAACCACTTCTGGCAGCAACATCTATATTAGTCAGTGTTCTCTAAGGGAAAGGAACTTGCAAAGTGAATCTAAGGGGGAAAAATGTCTCTCACAGGCATACCCACCTGCTTGGGTTTCAGTTAATTCCATATTAACAGAACAAGTCAGTTTGAGAACCAAGAAAGAATAGCCATCATACAGCCTATTATGTTATCCTACAGACTTTTGTCCCCGAAGAAACCAAGACTCAAATAATGTAGGTGACTTCCTTCAAGATACACAGAGTTTTAACTCCAAACACATTCCTGCATATTGTAGCTGGCATTCAGGGGTCTTTCAGTACCATCTGAAGTAGGCTCTCCATTCTGGCTTTTCAGAGCAGTGTGTGTGTGTGTGTGTGTGTGTGTGTGTGTGTGTGTGTATGCGCATGCACACATACACGTGTGTTCTAGACCCAGTACCTTGCACACACCAGATAAGATATCTACCACTGAGCACCAGCTTTTACTTCCCATCTCCTTAACCACTATTCCTGAAGAAGCTCCTCCTCCAGAAGATAGTCACTCAGACATAAGGAATCTTTGGTCTTTGTATCAATCATACATTCATAAGAGTAAAACTAATCAGGTACAGCTGAAAGGTTTCAAAGCAATTAAAATTGGTCTCTAGGCAGTTGGTTCATAGGAACCCACCTAGCCATTTTTGGTGTCCCTATGATAGTTTAAAAAGAACAGAAAACATTGAATACATTATTATTTTCACTAAATTAACTCTTTTTGTTGTTGTTGTTGTTGTTGTTTTTGTTTGTTTTGGTTTGGTTTGGTTTGGTTTTGGTTTTTTGAGCTGTATAGCTCTGGCTGTCCTGGAACTCACTATGTAGACCAGGCTGGCCTCGAACTCAGAAATCCGCCTGCATCTGCCTTCCAAGCCCTGGGATTAAAGGCGTCGCCACCACTGCCCGGCCTAAATGAACTCTTAAATATTCATTCCTGTGCATTACATTTTCCTTCAAAAATTCAGTTTCCTATTCACCTTTTTGTCACATGGTTTCCTATAAAACTCTCTCCTCCAAGGACCACTGTGGGACGAGTGTCAATTTTTTAGCTGTGGGAAGAATTTCACTAATTCTGCTAAAATCATAAAGCAACCATTTTTTTCTTCATCCATTCTTTGGTTTTAAGACAATACGTTAAAAGGAAATATGTTTCAGCTTCAAAGATCTCATTCAAAATCAGCAAAATGTGAACTAAAGCTTGCCTTTATGAAACCAGAACACAAAGAGAGGGTCTTTGGGAGTCTGTCCTAAATGGGATGTGTCTATCAAACGTCTCCCGTCAGAGATTAGGGAACACAGAAGACCAAGAGGTGGGAAGGAATGTGAGAGCCAGAGGGCATGGGGGACACCAGAGAACGAGTCCCTCCAAATCGACATGCTCATATGAACTCACGGAGATGGGAACAGCGAGCACAGGGCCTGCACAGGGGCTGGACCTCGTCCTCAGAACATGTAGTACGGCTTCCAGTTTAGTGTTATGGGATTGCTGAGTGTGCAAATGAGTGGGTCTCTGATTCCTCTACCTTCTCTTGGGCTATTTTCCTTCTGTTGAATTGTCTTGTCTAACTCTGAAGCGACAGTTTTTTGTTTCATCTTATTATAGTTGATTCTTACCTCTTAGAAGCCTGTTATTTCCCAATGAGAGACAAAAAGAGAGTGGATTTAGACAGGAAGGAAGTGGGGGAGAAATCGGGAGCAGAGGGAAGGGAGACAGTAATGTAGTTAGATTATGTGAGGAAAAAAATCTATTTTTAGTAAAAGGTGAAGAGTCCTTTAAAAAAAATAAAATAAAACCAGAACATTATTCTTTTGTTAATACCCCATCTCCCAATGGTGGTCACCTGGGAGGGTGACACTGAAGACACTTATTCTATTTTATACTCATGTGGAGTGTGATGGTGGATGTCAGGGCTAAGACATCAGATGATGGAAATAAAAACCAAAGTCTTGGCCCAGCACAATGAACAGGAAGCCAGTGATGCTTACGTGAGGCGGGAGTCCTTGAAGGTGTCCAGGTAGGCAGGGTAGCTCCACTCCACTCTGCTGCCCTTACATCGGAGCTCTACAGTTTGCCCTGCTGTGAGACTCACTGTGGCAGCAGGCCTCTGGAAGCGACCGTTGTCCATCGCTTGCACCATGATGGACTGGCTCTTTGCAGTTGTGTCACCTGAGTCCCTGTCCTTGATCTTAGGAATCTTGGGTTTGGCCTTTTTATTGGTTGGCTTGATTCTGTTTTCTCCTTGCTCCTTTGGACGCTTGTTCTTAGGAAGATGTTGGCCAGCAACTGCAAAGATGTAAGAGGAAAACACTGAGCAAAATTTCCCGAGTATAAGAAACTCACAGCAAGTGACTTCAATGCTCCCTGGCCTATGCCCAAATCCTTTCAAGCCATAATTATGGGTGACAATGCAATTATTTCTCTTCATCCATTCTTTAGTTTTAAGACAATAACTTAAAGGAAATATGTTTCGGTTTCAAGGATATTATTCAAAATCAGCAAAATATAAATTACAGTTTGATCTTATAAAACCAGAACACTTTCTTCTTCTGTTCATATTCCATCTCGCAAAGGTGGTCACCTAGAAGGCTGCATTGAAGACACCTGGAATCTGTTTTAGGTCTCACCAGTCACTTTTCCTGGTGCTCACTCTACGGTGACTCCTTAAATGTAAAGATGTTAATCTCTAAGGACGAGAGACACAAGTTGCATTAGAAACGCATTCGGGTGACTTAAAACTTCTCTCAAAATGGAAATGGGGGAGTGGGATGCATATTTATCGGGGATGCAGAATAAAAAGTGTTTAGGGCCGGGGATATAGCATAGATGGTACAGTGCTTGTTTAGTGTGCAACTGAGCCTTTGGTTCAATCCCTAGCACTGTGTAAGACAGGACATTGTGGTACGTGTCTGTAAGCTGAACACTGAGAATGCAGAGGCAGGAGAATCAGAAATACAAAGTTCTCCTCAGCTATACAGCGAACTCAAGGTTGACTTGGGCTACATGCAACCCTGTCTTTTAAAAAGGTATATCAAACATATGCCACCTTAAAACTTCACAAGCAAGCTATTGAAAACTGTAAGACTGGGAAGATGGCTTGGGTGGTAGAACACCTGTAAGGGAACCATGAGGCCATGAGTTCAACCCCCAGCAACTACATAAAGCTGGTGTGTAACCCTAGTGCTGAGGCTGAGGAAGAGGATGGGGAGGGTCATGGAGATGGGTGGATTCCTAGAGTTCACTGGCTATCTAGTTGAGCCAATAGGTTCAATTTGGATTTGGTGAGGGAGGGACTGTCTTAAAAATCCCCACGAGAAACAAAATCAACCAAGACTGTCAACTGTAGTGATGGCTTAAAGTTCGGCTAATGGAATATTTTTGGAGGCATGTTTTCATCAACATTGTTGAGCGTTGCCAGCACGCAGTGATAAGAGAGCTGATCTGCTTTAAGTTGGCTGTTTTCTGTACTAGGCATCCATTATTGCTTTCACTCAGGCAAAGTTGTTCCTACTCTCTGGACCTTCTGGAGGCCACTGGGCTCCAGAAATTTCAACCAAGCCTCTTTCAGCTGTGATACTGTGTCCTCCCTGGAAAGGTGAAAAGGTGGCTATATGGCTGGGCTTTGGATGAACTATCTATACTTATGGCAAAGAGTATAATTTTATGGCCACAGAATTACAGAAGTGCTCAGAAGTCCTTTAGGTAAAGTCCTCATGCTATAGATGAAAACAAAGCATGCTCTAAAAGGTTTTAAATATGTTAAATAGTTAAATACTAGACTAGAACTCAGGCCTTTCTAACCCCTTGCAGCATGCTCAGTTCATCACATGTTGTATGCATTTTAAATAAGAGATTACAGCCAGGCAGTGGTGGCACATGCCTTTAATCCCAGCACTTGGGAGGCAGAAGCAGGCGGATTTCTGAGTTTGAGGCTAGCCTGGTCTACTGAGTGAGTTCTAGGACAGCCTGGGGCTACACAGAGAAACCCTGTCTCGAAAAACCAAAAAAAAAAAAAAAAAGATTACAAACCCTGGTCAGTAGAGGGACTCGCAGAATATTTGTACCAAATGGGGACACGTGATATCAGGAGAAAAAATCATTGTCAAAGCTTAAGCTTATATGCTTCCCTGTTTGCTGCTCCTTGAGTTTTGTGACGGGAGCTATTTAGCCTCCACTCTCAGATGAGCCTCATTCAGACCTTGGAACTAATTTGCTGTTTGAGCTCTTAGCTCAGTACTCACAGTCAATCCTACCAAACTCCTCTGGCCTGTATACCTTGTTCCCTGTGACAGCATTCTTTTCTCTGGCCTCAGAGCCCATCATAATTAGACTCCTAGACTCAAGTCTCCACTTATTTTTCTTTCTTCTTCTATTCAATTCTACAAGGCACATGAGATGCTGACCTTTCCAAGGAGTTGAGTCGTTTCCTTGGGCTCTATCCTCCAAAGCAGAGTCCCCAATACCTGCTGTTTGCCCAGCCCTGCCAAGCCTACACATTTGCTTTATCCACCCCTGATTATAATGATGAACTAGACACAGTGGCTCTCATGTGTAGGCTCTTTCTCACAGTTCATCTTGGGTGTCTCTTCAGCTTGATGCCAGTAGGATTTAGAGTCAGCTAGGAGACTCAGTTCTTGGTGTGTCTGTGAGAGTGTTTTCAGAGAGGCTCAACTGAGGATGGAAAGTCCTTCCCAAGTTGCACACTGAATTCACAAAAGAGAAATCAGGTGAAACATACCATCTATCTTTCCCTTGCTTCTTAACTGTAGACATATATAGCCAACTGCATATGCTCCTCCCACTATGCCTTCCTGCCAGGATGAACTGTATTACTTCAAACCACAACCCCACACAAACTCTTTCCTTAAGTTTCTTGTGTGCTTTTGTTACTTTGTTACTGTGTTATAGTGGTGAGAAGCATGAGTAACACATTACCTAACCTCCTAGAGGGAGAATCACTGTAGCCATTGGAATCAGATCAGATGGGCAGAAATCCACTAATTCAACATCACCATGTGTGAGGGACAAACCTCCACTTTGTATTATGTCGGAAGTCCTATTTCCCTCTGCCAAAGATAGAAAATAAAAGCCTACTATACTGATGTCCAAATATTCTGTGTCCCATAAGTATTTTAGTCATACCATGTCTATGAGACTGGCTAAGCTTTTGGTTGAAGCTCCTAATTTGGCATTTTGACTTTAAGTAACATCATAAGAGAACTTTCTATATATCCTATGGAATTTACCCAACCAGTGATATCTATTTAACTTCCTGAGTTATCACATCCTGTGTGGCTACACAGCTTGACAACAGAAGTTTACTCTGGTTATTACCTATCCAAATATTTGCTATTCTACATGGAAAATAACTCCGTCTTTTTGAGCAATAGACTCCAGTTGCTCTAATTGTATTATTGATCTAACTGAATATGAAATGATCCATAGTTTAATGGTACAAACTTAAAGAAAGCCAAGGGGTTGTAGATGTAGTTCAGTAATAAAGCACATACTTAGTGTGTCTAAGACTCTCATGTCAACCCCTAGCAACTTCTTTACCAGAAAGCCACTTTAATAGCTTCACAGGTACCCAGCATTCTGGGACTGAATGACAAGTCCCACATTTAATGTTCTAAAAGAATACCTCTCACAACCCACCTGCACTGAAGCCAGTTTCTAGGCTTCTTACAGAACCTTCCCTACTGGTAACAACTCACACAGGTCCCTTCTGAGCTGCCTCCAACCACCCAGCCCAGTATTGAGACTTCACAGGTCCTCTGTCAGGGTCTAGCCCAGTGAGTCTCCCTGACACTCACACATGCCTTTTTGTAAAACCCACCAGTCCATAACCAGTGCACCTCCTCTACCTGCAGGGAAGAAAAGGTCTAATCTTTGGCCAGGGTCATTTATTTCTATCTCCTAACCTACAGGATCCCCATGCTATATCCAGCCTTTCCACCCAGCTAGATTTACCCCACACTCCAGGCTTGGAAAGGGGAGCATATCCTGTACACCATGCTAGTCCCCTCTGTCCACCTGAGTTCATTCCAGCCAACCCATTTCCAATCTGGAGACCCAACCCACTCACACAGCCAACCTGTTCTGTTGATAACAGACTTAGAACAAAAGAAGTTCACATGACCCCCCCCCCCCCATTTCATTGTAAAAATACCAAAAATATGAAGGAATAGGCCACTGTCTTCTATCTAAAGCCTACCAGTCCAATAGAAATGTTTGCCAAACCTAGATGAACTTCAGGACATATATATTTTTTTGACACAGACTTTTAAAAGAACAATCAAACTTCAAATAATTTAAAGCTTAAAGAAGACACACACACACACACCCCTCAATGAAATTAAGGAGACAGTGCTTATATAGAATAAAAGCCTAAGCAATGCTCAGGAAAACACAAAGTTGATGGAAATGACAAAGACAATCCAGATCTTGAAAACAGAATTCAATAAGGAGATAAAAACATTGAAAGAAATTAAGCTGAAATGAGGATGGAATTGTAAGCCCCAATAACTTAACCATAAACTCAAAGGAAAGCCTTAAAGTACAGTGGATCAAGCAGAACTTACAATTTCAGGTTTTGAAGATAAAGCAGAGGATCTATACCAAATAAGCAAGGAATATGAAAATTGGGGAAAAAAAAACAAGAAACAAACAAACAAAGAACCCACAGGATAAGGGACACACAGAAAATGTGGGACACTATTCAAACTAAATTCAAATTATAGGTATAGATAAGGGAGAAGAATCCCAAGTCAATGGCCTAGACCAAATCTCCAAGATCATAGAAAACTTCTCCAAACTTAGGAATGATACCCAAACAAATACAAGAAGTCCACAGAGCAACAAATAGACAAGACCATGATAAAAAAAAAATCCTATGTCATATCACATTTAAAACACTAAGTATACATGACAAAGAAAGACTATTGAAAGCTGCAAGAGTCACATATAAAGGAAAGCCCATTAGAATAACAGCTGCTTTCTCAATGGAAACTTTCAAAGCTAGAAGACCCTGGGACAATGCATTCCAACTTCTAAAAGGCTATGATAGCCCAGCTAGATTAATATACCCAGCGAAACTATCTGCCACAGTCCAAGGAAAAAGAAAACTTTGTACAGCATAAATGGCCTAAAAACTAGAACTCCACAAGCCAAACCTAAATAAAATACATAAAGCATTATTTCAAGTTGAAGAGTGGAATGAACACAGTAGAGAGTATCTGGAAAAAAAGACATAGGTATAATTATTAAAATATACAATGCCACTGGGA